ACTATTCAAGTCAGTCTGGTGATGGGCACCAGTTAATGTTGATGATTTATATAGCAGTGGACATATACATCCCTATGCTCACTACACTAAGACTAATACTGTGGTTATAGAGTAGATAGAAGTATACAGTGATACATTTTCATGCCAGACAAAATCAGTACTGTTCTTTGAAATTAAGATAATAGTAAAACACCTGAGTTGCCCTGTCTTAACCCAATAACGTGATTGCAATTTTCAGATGCATCATCATCAGAATCTCCAGCTTCCACATCAAGTATGGACACATCTGATAGTACAGGTAGTCCAGTGATGCCAAGGCCAGTAATCTACACTAACAATCAGGATCCGAACTGGCCACAGAAAATGAACATTCCATGGAACAAAGTGCCTGAGATTACATTTTGCTTGCACAGCAATAAAAGACTGGAGCCCGATTCACGAAAGAAACTCGTTCGAGTGGTTGTCGATGAGATCAGACAAATCACGAAAAATGCCTACAAAAGGCAGTTTGAGATCATTGCTAAAAGGATGGTGGCATTGTACCCACAGTCACTCGAAGATCGAATCGACGGATTTGTTGTTGGTTCAGGGTATGACTCATTGGTCTACCAGCTGGTTAACCGAAATGAAATCTCAACAGAGGAGTGGGCAAGCTGTTTCGTAAGCGGAAGTGTTCGGATGTCATGGGTGATGACGAGAAGACTCAAAAGCCAACTGTTAGTCCTGCAACTAAGAAAAGGGACTCTTATGGATGTGTTAACTGGGGTCCAGTTATTGATGGAGACAGCTTTGAACTTGAAAAGAGCAAACAGATGCTTAAAGAAATGCACGATGCACCGCCTAGTGACTGGAACAATGAGAATATTATGAAACTGATGAATGACACTTACAGTCTACAAAGACAATCTATCAATGAAGGTGAAAGTATTGGAAAGATTGTAGAAGACTGGCCCTTTCTTTCAGAATCAGTTGGAATCCTATGTCACTTTAAGACTCTTGTGGGGATTGACTGTGAAGCAGCCATCAGAGAAGGTTGTGAGTCAAAAGGCGTTCGACTTCAGCGCTACTTTTCCAGTGAAATGAGGGGAGAACTTGATCCGTTGTTTCGTGCTGCACAAAAAGAGTCAGAAATGGACAATGTCAAGGCATGGATACCAGCCAATCTGCTCTGTATTATGAAATGTGTTAATGAGAAGCCAGAGGCACTCTTTCTTCTTGTTGATGTAAGTATTATCCTGCATGGTCTTAGATTTTATGTAAATTTCTCAAAATTAATGGAACATGCCTCCATACGCAGCCCAGGTTACATAACTTTTTAATGGTAAAGCCTGTATTTAATGTAAACATATTGATTTCGCTATATTTAAGGCATTGTAACTAAGATAGAATTGATAGATTTTTGCTCTTGAACTGCTAAGATAGTTGTTAGCCAATGCTAAAGTGTAAACATTACAACAGTTTTAGTGGTAAGATAACTTCGAAAATGTACAGCCTTCTCCTTTATGTTGTTTGTAATTATTATAATATACTCCTAAACTAAAAGAATACAAAGAGCAGTATCAGTACCTTTTTTTCTATACATGTTTACTTGAATGTGTGTATATGATACATAAACTTATTGTAGTATGATAAGGAAATTATGTTTTCAGGAAACTGCATCAGTGGCTGACATTGAACGCACCAATACAGAAAGTTGGCTCCGCCTGGTACTACTGGGTAAGTAAATACATCACACAATATTGTTACTTTATGTTGGAAATTTGGTTCAAATTTCTTGTGATCTCCTTTATATCATAACAGAACCAAATTCTTTTAATATAAACGTACATACTTTAAAACTCTATATGAGTGTATGATACTTGAGATAAAATTATTGGGTTTTTTTTCTGCATCAAAGAAACAATGTTACTATCAAATCAGCAATGAAACTGAAATAAAATATATTGGCATAAGCAATCCTATTTTCATTTTATTGATGAAACCTTTGTGTCTTAGATTGATTTGTCTCTTAACTAATTCCTGCTTATCAAATTATGTTTGCAGGAGAAACACACCTATCTGCCAAACAGTATATGATCATTGTTGATCACAAAGTCATTGTGAAGACAATCACAAGCTTCCTAAAGGCAGTTGCTGTCCTCTTTGCAACATTTTATGTTTTAACATACAGTACCAAGCTGGTGCAGCAGCTACTCTGGAGTTCATCCAAAGGTTTGTTCACTTTTATTACCAATGTAGACAAAATACTAAATAAATAATTTTCAAAGAAAAGTTTTAAAAGTATTTCATCACAATCATGCAACGAAAAATGTTTTATTGAGCTTTAATACATCTAATATACAATAGGATATTGTCATTACCAAGGAAACGATTTGGACTTGCATTTCATGTTTCATTACTCAAGCAGATTAAATAGTTACAACCTGAAGTTGGCATTTTGCTATCTTCCCTGTATTTTACTGTTGAAGGTGTTTCCTCAGAATCAACCCTGACAAAGGATGTAAAGCAGACAGGAAAAGGAAGACAACTGGTGTTAATCCCAAGGTTCTTCGCATGATCAACAGTATTGCTGGATTTGAATGGACACCCATTAACGACACTTGATCTATCATTGTACAAGATTTTTAATGTCTGTGACATTCTATTTTTAGTAAGAATGCATTTCATTATTAATCTTTCAGTGAACATGGTGAACTGTTTTATCTTACCTTATCCTTTATGTTACGTTAAGTAAACATTTAACTGTTCAACTTGTTTTCAGGTTTGTGGAAAAGCAAGGTTAATTTAGAAATGATATTTTGTTGTCACCTTTGTGATTTGTGCATTTTCCTGATAGCTATCAATAATGATATGTTTTGATCTGAAGAAAATGGGACTCCTTTTTCATTCACTTATAAGGGAATAGCAGTTAATAAGGTTGAACTGCACACTATCTTGACTGTTGGATTTGCCTCTTATTTTGTGGTATGCATGTAATGTGTATGTACATGCAAGCCAGTGTTAAGAAAATCATGTGAGTACTGTATGGTGTTTTCAGTGTAGTTTACCTGAACACGCTTAAAATTACTAGCCAGCAAAAGTGGTGTTGTATCTGCTGAAAATAATTAAAGTGCTTATTTTAAGAAAAATTCTTCCTTTGTCTTTTGTTAATGTTGAAAGTGTGTGTTTAATTTTGGTTTTAGAAGGTAAGTTACAGGACTTCAGTGTAATATGTCGTGTGTTATGATACAACAGTGAAATTCATGGCATCTTCTTGCTTCAGGCAGATTACTGTATGTACTGTAACTACGGTTTAATGCCTGGCAGCTGGTTGCCAACAAATTACAAAGCCTGTATCTACAGTGCGGTGCTGTACTTACGGTACAACCATTTTTACTACGGTAATCTGCTGGCAACCAGCTGCCAGGCATTATACCGTAACAAAATCACGGTAATTTTTTACAGTGCGAGTATTCACCAGACAGCCCGCTTCCAAGTTGCGCGAACCTATTTCACTGCGCACGTGCTATGAGCGCAGCCCAGCTGTTGAAACCCGTATTCCCCAGAAAAGTCTGGGGAAAATTAGTGAAACGTTTGAACTCCGATTTCGCGCGGTTTTTTTCATCGCGTTATTTTTCAACTTTATAAGTTGAATTTGCATTTTTGACGCTTTGTTTCGGTACGTCCATACCGAAAGGTATCAGAATCTGCAAAGTTGTGTTTTACGTTGCATGTGACCTTTAAATACAAAAAATGTGACTAATGTTACGAACTGAGCATTTCCTCAAAATCCTCCAAAAAGTTCAAATAATACCATATCAATGTACAGATATCTCACTTTAATACAAATTTCACTAATCTCACTAAATGGGCATTTTGTTGAAACAAACTATAGCTCATCTTGACCAGGTGTTATCAAAACACTAACCCCAGTCAGCCAAATGCCACTCTGGCTATGTGAGAGACCTTTTTTGACAATATAACCCGATCCCGTTAGTCGCCTCTTACGACAAGCATGGGTTACTGTTCAAAGATCAATATTTTAACCCGGACCTTCACGGGTCAATCTTCAGTAACCCATGCTTGTCGGAAGAGACTATACTAACGGGATCGGGTTATCAGGCTCGCTGACTTGGTTGATATCTGTCATTGTATCCCAACTGCATAGATCGATGCTCATGCTGTTGATTATTAACAGACCGCCACAATATCGCTGTACTATTGCGTTAAGCAACAAACAAACTACATTCCCTGGAACATAATTTTGGGGATTTTTATTGTATGTTCGAGGCACTGATATGATCTTTGTTTGATATGGTGGCTGATTAGGGCTATGGCTTTCTCGCCTTAAAGTTCGGAGGCAAGAAAGTGAGAAAGCGATATCAGGAGACGAGAAAGCGATAACACGAGACGAGAAAGCGATAGCACGAGACGAGAAAGCGATAACGCGAGACGAGAAAGCGATAACACGAGACGAGAAAGCGATACCATCACGCGAGAAAGCCATAGACCGAGAAAGCGATATACCAAGGCGAGAAAGCGATGGCCCTAATCAGCCACCATAGTTTGATCGGTACCAATGGTAAACGGTTTTGTGGGTACGTAAAGTCACACACGCAGGCAGTGAGTTTCACCGTTACGAGTAACACTCTCTTAGGTATTTATTTCGCTTCCAGTACAAGGAGGTACAAGTACAGGACAGAAGTCGTAAATATTCATACTCTCGTTCAACACTATTACTCTCGTCTGATCAGAATCTCTTATAGACCACTTTGACAGCATCAACAAGCGGATTCAGTTATGCGTTTACGCTGAATGGATGAACGAGTTGGTATCTCAATGTAACGACAACTATATATTGTTGATTACAATCATAGTTGATACTCCCATTAATGGTTTATGTCAAACCCGATCAAACCTCTTAAGGTGCACCCTATAATGTAATTGATAAAATGTCCAACTCAATGACGTGTGTATCTCTTTACGACAACCGGAGATGAAATTGTCCATAGATTCAAGATGGCGGCGGATGGAGTTGACTGTTTGAAGTTGCAGTTGGTACATGGTGAGTTTTAGCAAACATTGATCTTGGTCGATTGTGATTCTATCCAGATATGTCATATGACATTTGGTTTGGGTACTCCTTTCATATATTTGTGCGATACGTCAATTCATTCAAATGCTTGTGTGGTTTGAGTGAATTCACGATTATCAATAATGGCACTGAAGAAATGACAACTGACACAACAGTGTGCAAGCTGATGATGAATGGCTGATATTGTTTAATTTAAGCCAATGTATGGTTTAGTTCGTTGTTAATGATAATGTAACGGGATGACATGTTGACAAACCACCACACACTGACACTGAATTGAGAACTATTGCACTAACGTTGAGTGATAAAGGATATATTCATCTATTTCACATAAAAATATCAAGTGTTCCATACAAATATTGTGTTGATGGCATCGTATCGGCAAAACTGTTGCCTCTCGTAACATGCTGGTATTTTGTATGGGTTTTCGACGATGATCCATACTATTTGCTCCGCACTGCGAGGGAGTGTTGTGATCACGCGGCTTCCTATTTATATATTGCCTGTCACCAGCAGACGACTGATCTAACTGAATTTTCGCTTTCTATTTTTTGTTATATAGACAACTGATTTTGCATCTGAAGTGGTATTAACGATCTCGGGTAAATAATATTGATGTTTGTTTGCTTTTTGTATAACTTTACTTCCCGATTTCCATTGTCAATAAACCTTCTCACGACAGCGACTGGGCACCCGCCCTTTCCAGTGAAACTGTTTGTGCACTCTGATCGCACACATACTCCCCCGATATAGCGTGTGCAATGCAATCGTCGAAATCACCAGAACGTCAAATTCAGCTCGTGTTGGGATATATGTGTGTTTGAAACATCGGACCTACAGAATGAGCGTGGGAAAGTTGCCTAACCCTACCCACTAACCCGAACTCTAACTATATTCTAACCCTAAAGAAGACAGTAACAGGTATCCAAGGGCTAAAAAAGTAAGGACACTAAGATAGCGAAGTACTAAAAATATGAGTCAAGTTGCGCAAATTTTTTGTGCAGTCCTAAAGTTTTCAAAGATGGCGGAATGTATCCAGTATTCTGTAATCTTTCCAATTTTTAAAAAAAAAACATGCTGTGGAAAAACGGCTTATATTTACCCATCATGTATCCCTTCCGTTCATGCTTCTAAGGTACTTGTATGTGAATTGTTACACTAGCTATTGAGGGGATGTGATTGCTTGTCGTTAGTGTAAAAGATGAAAATCTCTACTTTCAAGTCAAAAAGCCTCCTTTCAGTCTAATATGTCAGATGTTGTAATTGTTGTCATGTGTAAAGATTAAATATTGTGTCTAAACAATTAGGGTACATATATAAAATTATATTTGATTAAACTTAACAACGATTTGGTGTTTCGACAACTTGATTTAACTATGTTAGGACACCATAACTACTTTTCCTAGTATCCCCTTAACCTATTAACATAATGAAGCTTACAACTTTATGGATGACAACTTCTTGTTAATTGCACATAGCAATGTTTCAGTGTAGATTCTCGCACTGTTATCAAGCTGAAAGTGGAAACCTTTTCGCTTGATCTTGGGGTAAGAATCTATAACCGAAATGTCGTTCTCACAACCATCTAGAATGCTGATCAAATTCCTTTTAACATGTTTAACACTCCTTAGCAATTAGACTGCCTCTGTGGTGTGATGAGAGCGGAAGGTCGCGGGTTAAATCCCCGACCGCGTCATACCAAAAGACGTTAAAATATGGTACTTGTTGGTCCCTGCCTGGCGCTTGGCATTAATGGGTACAACAAGGACTGGTCGGCTCGGAGTCAGTATAATGTGTCTGAGTGGGGTATTAATGCTTAACTGCAGCATGGTATCTCAGTGGGCTAGCACTATAAAACCAGCTTAAGTCTGGGCTAGTACAAGCAGCCGCACAAACACGCATGCACATCGTCATATGAGCGAAATATTCTCAAGCACGACGTTAAACCCAATTTCACCTCACCTCCTTAGCAATAAATGTTTCAGCTGTATGATGGTCTTAAAGTGATCAAATCACTTAGATGGAAACTTTTACAAATTTTGTATCAGTGTAACATGTGGTGTTATAATATTAAATATTATCCTAATGAATAGTAAGATGTCAGGCATTGCTGAGTGTTCCTGTGTATTACGAGTATTCACTCTGAGTTTTCAAAGATTACTTATGGCTGGTCATGAGGATGGCCAGTGATGACCAGCCTTATTGTTAATCCAACCTGTGCATGTTGAGTCACTAATGAAACAACTATGGTAAGCGACCCTTTATAAATCATGCAATGTTTTTGAAGGGTGTAACCTGTGTAATAACTAATGAAACTTTCAATGTAATTAATTCACGGTTGTCTATTGTGTATGGCCTTAAAATGGTTTAGGTGCACAGTTATTTTTGTCCACAATGACTCTCAGTAATTAACGGATCGCCAGTGGAGAGTTAACCACGCCCCCAAAAGAAAGGGAGATAACTCTCAAAAGGTCCGACAACATAGCTGTCAAAACCAACTGTCAAAATGGCAGTCGTGATATCGTTTAGAGACATTCCCGATGATATTGGCCCAAAATATTTGCCTTATGAACCTACTTTGCGGCAAAGACAACGTGGAGTGGCTTTTAGTTCAGCCTCATACCTTCATTCTGTTACTTTCCATTCATGTTGTGATAATATCGTGTCGATTTGCGGGAGGATTTATAGAAGTCAACGGAAAACCGAAGCTCCTCATGTAATCAACTTGTCCCTTGACAGAATTCACAAATCGTTCACTGACGCCCATTGTAGCTGCAAATGTGGGTGAGTAGTACACGAAATAACTTCGGGTGCCTTTCCAATTTATGGCATAAATCTGTTGTTTTTTTTATAAGCGGCATATATATACATCAAATCAATTACACGTCTGTGTGCTGGCTGTTTCAGTTGTTGACAATGAAACCCATGTTATCCCATATAATTACGTTAAATTTCTATCATCGTGAAAGAAACAGATTCTGTAATAAATGTAAGAGGTAAATGTAATATCTGTTATTAGGCATTGCGGGAATAAAACCATGTAAATGTATTTTCTTCTCAATTATATTATATATTATATATTCCTGCTGTCAATCACAGTTCTGTAACAAATTTATTCACCCTATTCTCTTCAGTGCAAGTGGAAAGTGTTCCCATGTACTGGCACTTGTCCTGATACTGGAAGGCTGGAAGATATCCGGCTATCAAGCCATTCCTTCACAGCCCTCTTCCACTAGCCTGCCTCAGCAGTGGGATAAACCAAGGGGACCAAAGATTGAATCTGAAGCAGTGTCACAGATAATTATTGCCAGGCCTGGAAATCTTAATAGGAAAAGGAGACCTGTGATGGCCACATTCAATGACCACAGGTGATGTTATTATATACTTAGAGTTTTATTTCAGATTCTGAACTTGTTTTATGAAAATGATGTATCATAATGCAAGCATTACCTATATGACATTTTTACTCCATGATCATCAGATATTTCCAAGGTAGAACATACTCATCACAGTTTAGAAAGCAATATCAGATGACTATTGAGCAGTTGTTTGCATAAATATTACAGTTCAGTTAAGTGAACAAGGAACAAGAGCACGTACAAAATATTCATTGACATTGCAAGTTTTTAACATACACAAATACAATATTTGTGACTAATACTTTTTGTACTTGCAGGAAAGTTCAAATACAGGAGTCTGACATGTCTCTGCTGCACAGTATGAAGGGATTCCCTATTTCATACCTGACAGATACATGTACCAGCACCAGTCAGACAGTTGACACACCAATAGGTCCTCAGGTTGTTGGATCAACTCTTGGACATCAAGTAATTAATCTTTATCTTGTATTAAATGTGGCATAAAATTGGTCAAGAAGCAGCACACAAACCAAATTTGATTCACTGAGGAAAACAAACTTAAATGCCATTTTTTACCAACAATTTTGATTTTTTTTACCCTTTCAATGGCATTTTCGACCACCACTCTGTGTGTTGCAATTTTCACTGTTTCTGCCACATCAGACACACACATCTGACCTATACCTGGTGCAAAAGGGGGAATGTTGAGGCGTAATCTAGTGGCCCTTATTTCCTTTTCAATATTAAAGCCCTTGTCTGCCATCAGACCATCTCGGATCTCCCACTTTAAGTTTCCCACACTTAACCATTTCTCTGAGGAGGGACAGATAACCACTTTTTTCAGTTAATTCTTTGTCTGATATCACCCCAGAAAACAGCATTGATATGAATGTAATTGAACCTCTTGGGTCCACACCAATGAGACCTTTCAGGGTAGTACTTGATTTGTAATCTGAATATGCTTGACTTTGCCTTGTCAGTGAAGAGGGTCTCTGAATTTTTATTTCTGTTCCATCAATGATACTGAAAGTGTTTGGAAATTCCTGGCGAAATTGTGAAGGCATATGTTGCTGCAAAACATCATGGTGAGGCCAAATTGACACGGATCCAAACCTGTAATATAAGTAATTTATCCAATTTGAAAACGCAGTACTGCAATCTTGGGGTGATATCAGAAACAACTTTGAGAGATGTTCAAAATCAAATTCTGTCTAAGTTTAATCAGAACAAGCTAAAGCTGGTCTTCAAGACCCATACACTTCAAACTGCTAACTGTTCTGGTAAATTGAAAAGGTTCATCATCAGCATTGCCAGGGACAACAAATTTAAATATTTTCTGAAACAGTTCGTAGGGAAATCCTGTGTAATACTTGTAATCTTTTTTCTCTATATTTTTACAAAAAGAATACACATCATGCTTAACATTTTAAGCACTAATTTTTGTGTTGATCTGCTGGGCACGCATGAGCTCTTCCTTTTCTAGGATCAGTTTGGCCATATCTTCTTTGAGTTGCTTGTTCTCTGCAGCTAGAGCCAGCATATCCAGTGGCAGAGGACCTGTAAAAGCAATTACAACTGTTTCAAGCAATAATACATTCTACAGAGAAGAAATGATCTGGCTAGTTTAGGGCACCAAACTCATTATTAGGCCTGAAACAGACTTACCTATTATCAATCTGACTTGTTGTAATGTTTAAAAAATGCTTTGCACACAAAAGAATAAGTTAAGAATGAACACATAGCACCCTCAACATACTTGTTTCAATTTGAGATTTAAGAAGTAAAACAGCCTTCTTACCTCCCTTGTATAAAACTAAGTGTGAATAAACTGGCTTATTCTCTTTACAGGCACCCTTAATTAGACCAATAGTGGTTCCAAAGATGGAGGACAGGTGCGGAGATATCACATTTCCAAAAGATGACAACTTACCGGAACTGGATTCAATTGCAACTTTAAAACATCAGTGGAAAGATTTAGAACTTTCAGTTGACGAGTCCCATAATTTATAAAAAAATACCAGATCTCAAACAAGTCTGATTTGTGGTACAAAGCGAGGAAAGGGCGAATTACTACTTCAAACTTTGGTCTGCTTATGACTCGCAAAAAAACAAATCAATGACACATTTATCAGAAACACTTTTGACAAAAAGAAATTTTCCTCCAATCCAACAACATATGGGAATTCTAATGAGAAAATAGCTAAACAAATGTACATGAAAAAAACTCAAAATCATCTTCATGACATTGGCTTTGTTGTAAACCCATCTATTCCATTTATAGGAGCCACCCCTGATGCTATAGTGTGTGACACTTCTGTTTCTAGTATTGTGGAAATTAAGTGTCCTTATGCTTTAAGGGACTTGACCATTAATGAAGCCTCCTGTATGACTGGTTTATTTTTGAAAAAAGAAGGAAAATATTACAACTTGAAGAGAGGTGATAGGCATTGGTATCAGGTACAGGGACAACTACTTGTAACTGGGGCACCATTTTGCGACTTTGTAACCTACACCAGACAAGACTTTAACGGATATATCCAGATAGGAATACCTTCAGGGCTCTGCTTGAAACTCTGTCACAAACATATGTCAATCACTTCAAACCATACTTTGCAGGGAAACAAACTTCATAAAAAATTACCCATGGTGTCACTTTGTTGGACAAGAATATCAGATTCCTGCTGCATGGTTGTAGGCTCTGGATGTTCCATATCCACCAGATTGGGTGAATCAGAAATATCTGTATCATGATTACATCTGAAAAATCGTCACGATATGGCTGAAATATTGCCGATGTGACGTTAAATACTAACTCACTCACTCACTCACATCTGAAAAAGAACATGAAGACCCAATTATCTTATACCTGAACCTCAAATGTGTTACAGCCTTTAAATGGTTACCATCTTTGTCGATTTCCTATAACTTCTTGATTACCTATCAGGACTATTTATGCCTGGATTAACTTTTCTAATATATGTGTTTATTGCTATTACAATTCAGCGATAAATAACTTTTGGCTTCACTTGTTAAGTGCCCACAGTTGACATCATATGACTGTTGTTGTTTCACATGTAATATTGCCATCTGCTTCCTAGTTTTATTCATCTCCCAGCTGATGAAGGAGTAAGAATATATTCTGAAACACTGTGCCGGTCAGAGAAATGACAAGTATGTATGGACTAGTTGTATGTGGATATTGGACCATCTGATTCATACATTATCTCTATATTTGAGAAGTCATGTTTTCTGTATGAAATATTAGCAGTCTCTGGATAGGGGACTAATGGCTGTGTCTGGCCATGCCATGTCAAAATACATCTATAAATATGTAAATTAATGTTGTATTTAAACATATTTAAAAGAACCACTGTCGTGGCTGATCTCAGTGGTTATAGCAAATGTCCATGTTGATGTATTAATATTTATGATGGATTGTAATGAATACTTTGAATCCTTCAGAGTTATTGTGTATTATCACTCAATATTATGGGACCTGGGTGAAACACAGTTTTGTGCAATTAGATTTTTATGTCAATATGCACCTGCTGCAGGTGACATCAGTCCCTTCACCATGCTTATATGAATAGAACTTGAGTATGATTGTGATCTTGTGATGCATGTGATACTTCTGTCTTTTCGTAACTACAAAGGATCTAAATGTGTGACATTACCTTTACTAACTTTCTGTGATACTCTCAGAATAAACAAGGATTTGTTTGATTTTCATATTTCAATGGTTTTGTCGTGTTTTGTGATCAGTAAGTATAAAGGCAACAATGTTTTACCTGTGTGTTTCAAGAAGAACTTTCCATTTTCCGTCCCCCATAAATGGCAAGCGTGGTTTGGGTCGTGGTCTTACTGTCTTTGGATTTTCATTTTGTTCATGAGGTAGTGCAGACACAGGGTCCGGAAATGTCTTGGAGGGTTTTCAATCAACAAAGTGCTGTAAATAAGCTCGCTTTTATTAGTCGATAGAAACTACGAAAAACAACATGGATGCATCTGAAATTGTATGCTCAAACACAGACATCGTCTGTCCTTGACATACCACGCGGTGAAACATTAGTAACTAAATCAGTGAAAATCTGTGTAAACTGGTTATATAACAACTAAAAGCACTGAAAGTCTACCAAGTCAAAGATTTCTAAATTTACATTAACTTCAACATTGGTTAAGATGTTATTCAATTTTAGTTTCCATACCTTTGTACATACGAAGAAATGTTTTCCTCGGCTGTGGTCACGATTGTCCATGTTCAGTTGATACTTGGGGCGACCACACAAACGTAACCATCGTTGACATTTGTCAAAATTTCTGGCAGGCTTGGGAAATGGAATAAAGGTGATACCACCAGCAAGTCGTTCCGGGTACCGCGTGACGAGTTGCAGGTAGCCCAGCTACACCTTTTCACCATGATAAAAAGTTGACTGTAAACGTCGCATTTATTTTGAAAAGTCCGCCAGACCGCTGATGTCGGACAAAATGGTGGTCAGCTGTCAGCTGACGGCAACAGCGGATGCGGATTGAATAATTTGGACGTTTCTCATTGGTCATGTCATTTGTTTGATTGACAGGTGGCGATACGTTAATTGCTGCTGTCTTCAGATGAATCAGGCATTAGTTGCATAATCATTTTTCTTGATTTTCCAATAAGAACCCGACTTATTCTACTTCACATGAATTATGGTAAACAATTTGTTGCTAATTTGACATTAGGATCACCATGGTAACAGGCTTCCCTTTTAATGGGAACTTGTGTGTGTATCTATGATCACGGTCATCATGACTGTACACAATGTTATTTGATCATATATCAGATATATTTATTCAGTATTTTGGCCTCATAGCCTATACAGTTGTATTTCGGTAAAACACATGTCACATGGTGTACAGTACAGCAATATTTCTATTTCCATTTATATGTCAATAGAAATACATTTTAAAGAAAAATGGTGAGTGCTTGTAACGTATCCTCGTTGTTTGTATTTGATATATTACACAAGAGTTTCACTGTGTAGTGATTAACATTGGATAGGCTTGGAAGGTATTCTAATCTACAAATAAACAGGTCATAGAACTCATTAAGATCACATTGCAGACAGAGTGATATATGCACATGTTCATTTTTGTTTCTACGTAGATTACATGTATAAACAGGTCTTGGAACTCATTAAGATCACATTGCAGACAGAGTGATATATGCACATGTTCATTTTTGTTTCTACGTAGATTACATGTGTAAACAGGTCTTGGAACTCATTAAGATCACATTGCAGACAGTGATTTATGCACATGTTCATTTTTGTTTCTATGTAGATTACATGTATAAACAGGTCTTGGAACTCATTAAGATCACATTGCAGACAGTGATTTATGCACATGTTCATTTTTGTTTCTATGTAGATTACATGTATAAACAGGTCTTGGAACTCATTAAGATCACATTGCAGACAGTGATTTATGCACATGTTCATTTTTGTTTCATGAAGAGAGATTCTAAATTTACATTAAGCTCTTAGCAAAGACCTATTTGAGAGACACATTAAATAATGTTATCATAAATATGATCATTACCCTCATCTATCATGTCTGTGATTGTCTCCAGGTGCAGATAGACAGGATCTCTATGTACCGATCCCAGGTAAACAATCTAGTGTTGTGTGACATATTCTCTGTCTTGTAGATCATGTACACTCTCTTGTATCTTGAGTTTTCTCCTTGTAGAATAGAGACACTTGCTTTTGGGCAAAACAACCTTAGTGCTACGACTGTGTTAATGTTGGGAATTAAGATCTCCATAGCACTAAGACTGTTTTGGCACTATTACACACTGATTTGCACCGCTTTACTTTTTCTAGATCAATACTAATATTTGTGATATACTACAGGGATTCAACAAGACCTTATGAGAGGCTGGTGTAAAGGCCCAATGTCTGTAAGATAAGACAGTAAAAATGCCAAATATAAATTGAAAATTCCCCAATATGTCAGCAGAGGCCCAGATAAGCTGCGTACTCGGGTAAAATACGCATAGAAAATTTCCAATTACGCATTGAAAAATAATTGTTGCGTACTAATTACGCATTTAAAATGTTAGATACGCAAAATGTGTTAAACATATGCGTACGGAATATATTTATAAAAATCGCTTGCATAATGAAAAAGACATCGATTGCTATCAAGTTGTACTGTTAGTATAGGACAAGTGTTGTACTGTCAGTATAGGATGAGTGATCGTTTATGAAATCATTTCCATTATATTTAAGTTGGTTTTGGTTAGGTATGACATAAGGCAGAACATACCTGCTTAGTAAACTTACTCAATGACATATACTTAGGTGAGTAAAATGACTGAAATACGCACATATTTGAAAGCAGTGGGTAACGGAAAATGAAATACCCACTCAACATTCATAATACCCACTCCCAAAATATACAATGGGTACAGTACCCACATGAGTTAAATCTTATCTGGAGCTCTGTGTCAGAATTTACAAAGTGAAAGAGTCAAACTCTTGAAGGATATGATTTTCTTCACATTTTGAGTTCCAAGGGCACTTTGTTTGCAGTCCTTGATAAATCCATGTACTAACTATGCTTATCAATACATGAAAGTGTTCTATAATAATTTACATGATATAGATGTGTGTCATTTGAATGCTTTAGTTTTAAAAGTGAATCCTGTTGGCCATGTTCTCCATTTTCATCATATCTATGTGTCATATTTAAAGTGTTCAGCAAAATTCATGCAACATATACCTGAAAACATGATTTATGCAGGTATGGAAACATGATATATTGATATAGAACTAGCATTTCTTGTGTTTCTTTATTGTTCTGTTACTACTAGTCTAGTAGGACTACCATCATTGATTTCTTTGTCCTCAACACAGTTCAAAGGTCTGTAGGCTCAAGCTAGTGGACTACTGTGTATTTCAACGGCTGCAGGGGTGGAAATAACCCATTGCCCGATGCCTGAGTCCAGTGATTTTTTCTGTCAGGCAAGCAAATTTGTATATCACACTGTACTGGTGTCCAGTTGACTTTCCAATATTGATTATGTTGAATATTTAAAACATCAACAAGAAAAAGCGGCCGGTATAGTGGAAAATTTATCAGGGCAAGTGATTTTACATGTGCCACTGTACCGGAGTACACTAGCAATTTTAAAGTTATTTCCACCCCTGCCGGCTGCATATTTTTTCATACTGAATGAGTTATCTCATATGATCATGTTGATATAAACCAAATTATTGGTCTGTAGTTATAAATTATTTATTATAGTCCATTTTATTGCACATTTGTCCATGCACATTGCATGCTCAAAGCCCTGACATATTACCCCTGGTCAACGAGTACAGAACACTCCCTGTGGAGAATACAACCAGTCGCCTGTCAGGCGCTCAAGGTTCAAAGTCAGACTACCATCGTATCATACCAGGTACCCAGTTCACTGCTGGGTGGACAGAGGCACTTTTGAACAAACTCACTTGCCTAAGGTGAGACCACATGTATCACATGTGCTTTGTTGTGGGGCAGGACTGAAGTCATAGAAACTCTCAAGCTGTCAAACACGGTCACCAATCCGAGGACTGTCCGCGACCACCGTTGCTTCACTTTAACTGATTGTGACATGAGCTCTCCGCACAGGACCACACACCGCCACAAAGAGGACAAAGAATATTTGTGTTATTTTATATCTTATTCATAATCCATCAACACACCCAACACACTCACTTACTGTAATAAAAATAATAAGTCATCCAAACACCAAGTGATTGCTCGCGGCGCTTAATCAGAATCTGATGATTATTACTCTGGATAACCAAAGCTGCCTGTTAGGAGCTAGAAGGTTATACTCACATGACTTAGTCCAACCGGGTACCCATTTTCTGCTGGGTGAACAGAGGCAGTTTTGAACACACTCACTTGCCTAAGGTGAGACCACATGTATCACATTAGCTTTGTTGTGGGGCAGGATGGAAGTCCTAGAAACTCAGGAGCCAAACGCGGTCACCCATCCAAGGACTGTCCGAGCTCAACGTTGCTTAATTTCAACTGATTAAGTGACCTGAGCTCTGTGCACAGGACCACACACCACCATGCTGTAACGATAGTGTATTTAATCCTTTAGTCCATATCATATATATGAAGGAAGGTACTGTGTACTAACAAACATAGTTAAATTGTAGATAGGGGTATGTCTAAGGGTGAAAGGGGTAACATAAGAATGTGTTTGCTGGGTGCTTGTCTCAGACTATGGGGGCGGTGGGGTAGCCTAGTGGTTAAAGTGTTAAGCTTATCATGCGAAGACCTGGGTTTGATTCCCCACATGGGTACAATGTGTGAAGCCCATTTCTGGTGTCCCCCGCCGTGATATTGCTGGAATATTGCTGAAAGCGGCATAAAACTAAACTCACTCGCTCACTCAGACTATGGGTGAACAAGGTGAATGGAGGATTATGTTTTCAGGGGAGCAAACAGAGGGTGAGGCTTGTGGTGTGATCAAATGTGTATTTTTGGAGGAAATTTAATGAAAGACAACCACCTTCAAAAACACTATAACATGAATTATGCAGCATGCATTGGGAAATTTCATTTTTGGAAATAATACTGGTATTTACTAGAAAGAACATGAAGGAGATCCAGTCAAATACCTATTTTTCTATGAAGTACTACAACATTGCATGAGTTCATTTGAATCCATTTCTGGTGTCCCCCGTCGTGCTATTGCCAGAATATTGCTAAAAGCGGTGTAAAACTCAACTCACTCACTCATTTGTATCACCACCTCCAACATGTGCTGATGGTAAATGATTTACCATGTTTAAGGTGACTGAGTAAGGATTGTTACCATGGCTACTGTTAGGAGCACCAAACCTGTAATTGTTATAATTATAGCTTAGACATGGTCAGAATGGGATTTGACATGTTTAAGTAGAGTATCAGCTAGGGCTGGCTGAAAAATCGATAATCAGAAATATTGTCCATGGGAAGAATTATTAATGATTATCAATAGGAAAATTATCATTGATAATATCTAACATATTATCGTGGTGAATTAAAGGTTAATTGAAACATACAATACACATAGTTACGTCTTTATTCATTTGCCACTGCTAAGGCATAATATCTAAATTATATCCAGAATGCTGTATTCATTTGTAATCCATGCATAAACATGACAAATATGTGACCACTCATAAGTGACACGAACATTGTGAAATATGTTGATTTCTTTCAGACTGTTTTGGCTCAAAGTTATTTCTCTAATATCTATGGTCGTTCTCTGTTATCTTCATCCATAACCAGCCCTAAAACCATTTATTAATCAAGGTCTTAGGTGGTTGTTTATTAATTCCCATGCTAAACCATTGGTAACCAGTATCTATCAAGTAAGTAAGCAGGGCTCGATTTAAGGGATGCTAACTTACTTGCACCAGGTGCAACCTAGTTGCACCAGGCAAATTCCAGATGCACTGCTTTTATTGCAATATGTAATGAAAGAAATATGCTGTTGAATTACTTAGATGTTTTATTCAGAAGTTTACCCACTCAAGAATTGACCTGCACCTGGTGCAAGTTAGACTAATAACTACGTTGCAATTTGTAATATTGGCTTGCACTTGTGCAAGTAACAAAGCACTAAATCGAACCCTGATAACTGAGTATGGCTTTATGCCGCTTTTAGCAATTTTCTAACAATAAAATGGCGGGGGACACCAGAAATAGGCTTCACACACATTGTACCCCTGTGGACAATCAAACCCGGGTCTTGAGTGTGACACTTTAACAATAAGGCTACCCCACCACCCCTGGAATCTATCACGGAAACCATGGCATTATTCTCATTGGAATCAGATCTTAGTTCTGAGGAGATCTGAGGACAACCTATTACAGGACATGTCTATGTCTCTGTTTGCAGGTCCCAGGAAGCATGAACTTGGGATGTGTCTACCAGAGGAAGAGGCGGGCGATGTGCTCACTGTCAGACACCTCATTGAGGCAGTTGCTGATCTCACTGAAATCCCACAGGCAAACCAAAGGCTCATCTTTAAAGGTAAGGCAAAGCAATGCTCACTGTCAGACACCTCATTGAGGCAGTTGCTGATCTCACTGAAATCCCTCAGGCAAACCAAAGGCTCATCTTTAAAGGTAAGGCAAAGCAATGCTCACTGTCAGACACCTCATTGAGGCAGTTGCTGATCTCACTGAAATCCCACAGGCAAACCAAAGGCTCATCTTTAAAGGTAATACAAAGCAATGCTGACTGTCAGACACCTCATTGAGGCAGTTGCTGATCTCACTGAAATCCCACAGGCAAACCAAAGGCTCATCTTTAAAGGTAAGGCAAAGCAATGCTGACTGTCAGACACCTCATTGAGGCAGTTGCTGATCTCACTGAAATCCCACAGGCAAATCAAAGGCTCATCTTTAAAGGTAAGGCAAAGCAATGCTCACTGTCGGACATCTCACTGAGGCAGTTGCTGATCTCACTGAAATCCCACAGGCAAACCAAAGGCTCATCTTTAAAGGTAATACAAAGCAATGCTGACTGTCAGACACCTCATTGAGGCAGTTGCTGATCTCACTGAAATCCCACAGGCAAATCAAAGGCTCATCTTTAAAGGTAAGGCAAAGCAATGCTCACTGTCGGACATCTCACTGAGGCAGTTGCTGATCTCACTGAAATCCCACAGGCAAACCAAAGGCTCATCTTTAAAGGTAATACAAAGCAATGCTGACTGTCAGACACCTCATTGAGGCAGTTGCTGATCTCACTGAAATCCCACAGGCAAACCAAAGGCTCATCTTTAAAGGTAAGGCAAAGCAATGCTGACTGTCAGACACCTCATTGAGGCAGTTGCTGATCTCACTGAAATCCCACAGGCAAATCAAAGGCTCATCTTTAAAGGTAAGGCAAAGCAATGCTCACTGTCAGACATCTCACTGAGGCAGTTGCTGATCTCACTGAAATCCACAGGCAAACCAAAGGCTCATCTTTAAAAGGTAATACAAAGCAATGCTGACTGTCAGACACCTCATTGAGGCAGTTGCTGATCTCACTGAAATCCCACAGGCAAATCAAAGGCTCATCTTTAAAGGTAAGGCAAAGCAATGCTCACTGTCAGACATCTCACTGAGGCAGTTGCTGATCTCACTGAAATCCCACAGGCAAACCAAAGGCTCATCTTTAAAGGTAATACAAAGCAATGCTGACTGTCAGACACCTCATTGAGGCAGTTGCTGATCTCACTGAAATCCCACAGGCAAACCAAAGGCTCATCTTTAAAGGTAATACAAAGCAATGCTCACTGTCGGACATCTCACTGAGGCAGTTGCTGATCTCACTGAAATCCCACAGGCAAATCAAAGGCTCATCTTTAAAGGTAAGGCAAAGCAATGCTCACTGTCGGACGTCTCACTGAGTGCCTGCATGTCCATTGTCAGTGCAGTATTCTTGAAGGTGAAGTGTGACTTTGAGCTCCACCTCACCATGACAGGAACTTGCTGCCATGGTATCGGCAGCCATTTTGAAAACAGTTTGCATGTGACAATGATCACTCACTGATGACAGTAAGATCAGATAAAACCCAGTCCAGTTACTCTGATTTTTATGGAAAAACTAAGAGCCTCATTGTATGCAGAAGACCTGCGTAGTTCGAACATCATTAATTTAAATTCAGCTTTTGTAGATCATGTTATCTTGATTTGCTGTGTTCTTTAAAAATATTCACTTTTTAGTTATGCCCGGAACTGTAATTCCTTATGTGTCAGCGATAAGCATCCATGAATTTGTCTGTAGAATAGTATATGGTTATAACGTTTATAACCAACAGGACGTTCACTAACAAAGCTAGACGAAAGTTTAACATCACTTGGGGTGAAACAAGGCTCGAAGATTATGCTGCTAGGAAGGAAGGTACAGTGAATTTATTACTGGCAAACAAGGATAAGTTGAGCACCGACCTGACAATTGACCCGTATAAGCATGTATGAGTGCCGCCCACTGGCGCTTGCATTTGTTAGTGAAGGGGCCCCAGGTTGTCCGCGATCAAGTGTAGTGCGATGGGTGAAGCAAGGCACAAGGCGTGTCCAGATATGTACGGAATCAATTTCATCGTCATGCAATGCACGTGCACTAGCCTACATCTGCTTTACCTTTCACAAACCAAATGGTTCTCTGCGCTGGTCCAACTTATCCTTGTTTGCTAGTAGTTAACGACATCTATACCATGTACAAAAGAATATTACTTTGTGCTTGTGAATACACAATCACAAATGTAACATGTGTTACATTTCACCATTTTCTAAATGGCATTGTGTGTTAGTGGTGGTCCGATTAATTGAAATAATCCAAGATTGGTCGCAGTGACTAAACGACCAAACAATCGAACATGTTTTCTTGTAATCGAACACGACCAATCTTGGAACACTTGTTTGCATTAACAATATTTTTCACAAGGCTGGTTTTGTCTGTGTCATTAAATTTACATTTCATAAGCACCACAAGCTCGTTCCAAGTCATGATTGAATTTATCTTAAAGAATCCAGGAAATATGTGTTCCTAACATACTAATCATCATTTAAATATGCAAAAATAACAGGAACATTTGATAAATGACACTAACCAATTATTTTCGATGATTGATTGGTTGTAATGGACCAATCATCAATTATTAGATTTTAACCAATTCCCAACACTATTGTGTATTCATAGCTTTTGGCCATGGGAGCCGTGCTAATTTACACTTATCAGAGGGGCAGACAAAGTCTGTGGTCTAGACTACCAATTCCTCCCCCTGATTTAGAAGCTGGTACGATGAACGGGAACGATTTTTCAGTGTAGATGGTAACACCATTTTTGTGGAAGCCATGGTAGCTGTGTGGGTTAGGCGACTGACTTTGTGTGCTGGCAATTAGGTGCCTGACTCTGAGGGTGTCATTCCGACCTCATTTTACCTGATCAGCATTTATTTGTATACAAATTATCTGCTCTTTTCTTGTTTCCATGGTAACAGCCTGAGTCAGTGGATGTGGTGGATGAACAGAAGTTGAAGAAAGCTGAGGCAGAACTGGAAAAACTGTCCAAAACCCTCAGTGATATCACACATGAGCTTGATGGTATAAATAAGGTGAGATATCATACCAGTAGATGGTATTAACAGGGCATATTATGTTGCATACCAGGTGAATGGTTTAGATAAGGTGAGATGTCATACCAGTGTATGGTATGAACAGGGTAAATGATATCACACACCAGCTAGATGGTATAAATAACATGAGATATCATTACAGTGTGTGGTATAATCAGGGTAAATGATATCACATACCAGCTGGATGGTATAAATAAGGTGAGATATCATACCAGTGTATGGTATGAACAGGGTAAATGATATCACACACCAGCCGGATGGTATAATTAACATGAGATATCATAACAGTGTGTGGTATAATCAGGGTAAATGATATCACACACCAGCTGGATGGTATAAATAAGGTGAGATATCATACCAGTGTATGGTATGAACAGGGTAAATGATATCACACACCAGCCGGATGGTATAAGCAATGTGAGATATCATGCACACACTGCGTGGTGTAAACAGTGTGAGTGATATCACACACCAGCCGGATGGTATAAGGAATGTAAGTGATATCAAACCACAGCTGAATGTTATAAATAATATCACGCACCAGTTGGATGGCATAAACAGTGCTGTAACAGAATGCCTAGTTCCACGAGCACACCTAGAAATATTCATAAAATGAACAATTTGTGATGATGTTTATTATCATGATTATATGGGGCCAGTAATGCACATGATAAGACTGACAAATATGAAACAGGAATGATTTTTAATGGATAGACAACTTCTCTATTTCAACTGATGCGACGTTTCGGTGCAGATGCTAACACCGTTATCAAGCAAGTGATGATAACAGTGTTACCATCTACACTGAAATTTGGCACCCATTGCAATAAAGAAGTTACCAATCCATAAAAAATCTTTCCCGTTCATCATACCAGCTTCTAAATCAGGTGGAGGAATTTTGTTGATTGTAAAACTTGTCTGACCAATGGTTCAAACGGAGACCTATAAGGAAATGTCATGAGTTCATCCTGAATCCTGAATGCGCTAGTCTCGTACAAACAGCATTATGCAGTTATGAATCCAGCATCTCGATGTGTTCTAGGGCTTCCTGGAAAAGAAGCTTCAGTCTCCAGCGCTGCAGAAGCTGGGCAAGAAGATTGGGTCTGCGTCCGAAGCCTTCATGAAGCTGCTCGAGTCACTTGACGCTCTCCGTTTTGCAGAGGACAATAAGGGCCCGAAGATTAAGAAGAAAAACATGGTTGACAGAATACAGGTGATGCCTCCAAGACACTCTGCTTTCTACTTAATATAGCGTTTTAGTTCATTTAAATTCAGAATTAAATTAAAATTTATGTTGGAAGACCCCATTTTCTGCCTGGCACCCCTGTTAACTTAATTGAGTGATGAAAAAATTTCAAAGCAGGTGAAAGCAGTGTATGTTTTCTCAACAATATGTGATCCTATAAATTTGTTTAAAGAAATAAGGGACCATTCATAATTTATGGCTGGAGGGGTGATGATGATTTTAAGGGGTGGTCACCCATTTTGTTCTAAGGGGGCTGGGGGTGTTGTTCATCAATTTTGTACATAAAAATTATGACGTGGGGGTGTCATTGATTTTATACATGACATGCAGGGGAGGTAACTTCGTACATAAATCTTAGGCTGGTACATTCACATTGTACATGCCTTTCCATAAAAATCATCATCACCCTCTCTAGCCATAAATTATGAATGGTCCCTTAGGGTTACCTTTCTTAATCTGGACTTAAGTAATCTCCATCAGAGGCACCAATAATTAACTTTCTCATCAGCAAATATGTAAGAAAGAAATTTCTCAATGCAAAATATCAGAGAGCTCCTAAAACAAACAGATACTGTAAAACTATTATGTTAGTGTGGAAATGTAATTGTATAATTGATCGTACAGTTGCTCAGTGGCATTTTGATTTTCCAGAGGTTGAGATTTGTGGATGGAGGGGGTAAGGAAATGAAGCCAGATCATCATGCTTTGGTCTCTAATGTTTGATTCAAACAGTACTCAATAAAATACTGTCTTTTTTTCTCTTTTCAGAAATACCTGGATCGTTGTGACACATTGGCCGAAGGTGTAAAAGATATTCTACAAGGGCCTTCATGAGTTTAAATTGTTTTGTTATTCAATATTAGGCAAGGTTGTTGAATTTTTGTTATTTCTCTTTTCAACAGTGCAACTGAACTTCATATGGATCTACCTGTTGACATGGTTTAACATCATGCTCACAAGTTTGTAGAATTTTTAGACACCCAAAAGTGCCCTTTTCAAATCTTTGAATTTATATTTTCATTATGTATTTTACGACATTAGAGGAGAAGAGGTTTTCTAAATGAGATCTTGATTATTCTGCAAAAACATTACCTTTGTTTGTGAAATATGACATGAGCAGATCGAGGGTTAGATTTCAATACATGATACATATGTTCACTAGGCATTGTTTAATATTAATAATTATTTAAAGGTCATTGATTTGCAGCATACATTAAAGATGTTATCATTGTTACTGACAACTTATGTTAACCGATGTTAAGTTGCTAGACTTTAAGAAAAAGCTGCGACCTTTGATTGCTGGGTGGTGCGGTAAGATCTGTTTGAAGAATGTCTTGTGTCATTACAGTGATTGGGTTTACTTTAGTGTGAAAGACATATTGATGGTTTTTTCAAATATAATGTTGCAATACACCAAAGATTGAGTTATGAAATAGGAGATGTGGAGATTGAACAATGTTGAATATGGAAGATTTTGAAAATGGAAGCTTACAACTTTATGGATGACAACTTCTTGTTTATTATATAGAGCAACGTTTCGATCTAGATTCTTACACTGTTATCAAGCTAGAAGAAGTTGTCATCATTTAAGTTGTATGTTTCAGTTTTGACTCACCAACTTCAAGAATGCCAAACAAACAATTATGGAAGATTTTGGTTGAGTAGTATGAATCAGTATTCCGGTTCAAACTATACCTGTTGAAGTTACCATGGTTACAGACTTACCATTAAATAGATTGACCTTTAGTTTGAGAGGAACGCCTCAAGATGTTGTGAAGGTGGACACTGAACTTTCTATTTTAACCATAACTCAATCTTTTCAGGACTGAATGGTGGTGAAGTTTGAGACAAAGTTTGTGGTTTTCAGTAACTACTGCATTCTCTGTAATAGGTGCCTTTCGAAAATTAACAGAAGGGTTGCATAATTTAAATTGTAAACAAGAAAAACTCTTTCTCCAAGGTCAGAATGTTCATGAAAGTAAAGCCTTATCAGTGAATGTTGGTAGGTGTTTACTGTAAAAGATTTGTGTACAGGTCAGATTTCGTGGAATCACAACATACAAATTGGCCTTTAAGTTTTTCCCAGGAACTTACTAACAGATACTGGTACCCTTAAAACGGCGAATATGGTAATTGCTATTTGCAAATGTTTGAGACCCGCCAAATATCAAGTGGTTGATCCATGAAGGAAAGCTTTCCGTCAACAGGTACAACAGCGAACAGTGTCAGTGGTAACTATGACAAGAGTTTTGTACTAACAGGACTTGTAAATCTATACATGGTCTTGGGTATTTGATGGTCAGAGATAGGAATTTATTCTGCAGGCAATATCTGAGATCTTATTAAGGGTGGGGTTCATGTTGTCCACTCACACCCTTGTTCTTCAATGTGTCCTTCATTCTGGTATTATATGGGCAAATACACAGTATGATAATATTGATATCCACATTGTTCTACCTCTCACATAGGCCAGTATGACTCTTAGTGATCTCAGCACTATGAGCGTGTATGTCTGTGTCAGAGTAAGGGAGTTATGGTCATCTTTGCGCTATGATCATCTAGGTCTATGGTCTATATCGGTCAGGAAAACGGAGTTATGATCATCTTAGCTATGATCATCTAGGTCTATGGTCTATATCGGCCAGGAAAACTGAGTTATGATCATCTTAGCGCTATGATCATCTGTGTCTATGGTCTATATCGGTCAGGAAAACTGAGTTATGATCGTCTTAGCGCTATGATCATCTATGTCTATGGTCTATATCAGTCAGGAAAACGGAGTTATGATCATCTTAGTGCTATGATCATCTATGTCTATGGTCTATATCGGTCAGGTAAACTGAGTTATGATCGTCTTAGCGCTATGATCATCTATGTCTATGGTCTACATCGGTCAGGAAAACGGAGTTATGATCATCTTAGCGCTATGATCATCTATGTCTATGGTCTATATCGGTCAGGAAAACTGAGTTGAGATCGTCTTAGCGCTATGATCATCTATGTCTATGGTCTATATCGGTCAGGAAAACTGAGTTATGATCGTCTTAGCGCTATGATCATCTATGTCTATGGTCTAGATCGGTCAGGAAAACGGAGTTATGATCATCTTAGCGCTATGATCATCTATGTCTTTGGTCTATATCGGTCAGGAAAACAGTTATGATCGTCTTAGCGCTATGATCATCTATGTCTATTGTCTATATCGGTCAGGAAAACTGAGTTATGATCGTCTTAGCGCTATGATCATCTATGTCTATGGTATATATTGGTCAGGAAAACGGAGTTATGATCGTCTTAGAGCTATGATTTATGTCTATGGTCTATATCGGTCAGGAAAACTGAGTTATGATCGTCTTAGCGTTATGATCATCTATGTCTATGGTCTATATCGGTCAGGAAAACTGAGTTATGATCGTCTTAGTGCTATGATCATCTATGTCTATGGTCTATATCGGTCAGGAAAACTGAGTTGAGATCGTCTTATCGCTATGATCGTCCATGTGTATGGTCTATATCGGTCAGAATAAGGGAGTTATGATCATCTTTGCGCTTAGATTGTTTTGTGAAAGTGGTTTCTAGTTAGGTAGACAAATTCGATCACCACAGCATTATAACGTTGATGTCAATTGGTCAGCATAGAATGCTCTTTTAAGTTATTAAAACTTTTGTTTAGGGGATCAAGTTCATTCTTACAGCATCATCATCAGTTTTGGTTGTCATGTTATATAGTTGGACACGGTTTGAAGCAGATACAGAAATAGGCTCCCTCTGTCCATCCAATATCATTCAATATGCCTGTGTTCAGTAAATCTCAGATTAGTATACAGAAAAAAGTTCCTTTGGTGGTCAGAAATGTTTCTTGTGGGTGTTTCTAGGAGCAGTAATATGAGTAGGGCTCTGTCTAATAGTGTTTCACAAGCACCTGTTTAAGATATTAGTCAAGAACATTTTATCAAGATTGTGGGTTTTTTGTTGCTTTTATTTACATCGTTTCAGTTTCAGAGTTTTTTCAATTATTTCTCTTTAACTTTGACTGAACTCAGGTGAGGATTGTTTATCAAAGCATTTTCATAAACTTTTGAAAATTCTTCATGACTCTTTGTATCAGATCATGCATTGTTTTCAGTTCAGGAAATGTTTTTGTTTGTTCTTGAAATATGTTTATTTTCAAAATGTTCAGTTTGTTATTAAGTACCAATACTAATGCATTGACTTGAATATATTGAAGATATTTGTTACTGGTGTATATCTGAATATGACAAATATGTGTTCCTTGTTCAGATGTTCTGTTAGACCATGATAGACTGGCATGTCCGTTAGACCATGATAGTCTGGCAGGTCCGTTAGACCATGATAGACTGGTATGTCCGTTAGACCATGATAGTCTGGCAGGTCCGTTAGACCATGATAGACTGGCAGATCCGTTAGACCATGATAGACTGGTATGTCCGTTAGACCATGATAGAGTGGCTGGTCCGTTAGACCATGATAGTCTGGCAGGTCCGTTAGACCATGATAGACTGGCATGTCCGTTAGACCATGATAGACTGGCATGTCTGTTAGACCATGATAGACTGGCAGGTCTGTTAGACCCTGATAGACTGGCAGATCCGTTAGACCCTGATAGACTGGTATGTCCGTTAGACCATGATAGTCTGGCAGGTCCGTTAGACCATGATAGACTGGCAGGCCCGTTAGACCATGATAGTCTGGCAGGTCCGTTAGACCATGATAGACTGGCATGTCCGTTAGACCATGATAGACTGGCATGTCTGTTAGACGATGATAGACTGGTATGTCCGTTAGACCATGATAGACTGGTATGTCCGTTTGGCCATGACAGTCTGGCAGGACAGTTACCAGCTGTATGTCTTGGTGTCGATTTAGGGATGTTCCAGGATGTTGTCAAATGTCTGCTAAAGAACGTTTTGTTCGTTGTTTAACGCAGCACTCAGCCATATTCCTTCCATTTGACGGCGGTCTGTACATAATCCAGTGTGGACAAGACAGTATAGTGATTTACATCATGAGCTACGCAATTGGGATAAAATGTCATAGAATAGGAATATTCTCATGATGAATGTGGGATAAAATGTCATAGAATAGGAATGTTCTCATGGTGAATTGAGAAGGTCCTAGGAAACAGGTGCATGGAAATTTCAGTGTTCCTATTGTATTACATAGTGTTGTGCTAGGTGAATATGTGTCATTCGAGTGTACCGTGTGTGATACAATAGTGTTTCAGGGAGTAAAATGTTACTGATTTTCAAAACTGCAGGTTAATGCTAAGTTGTTGAGGTACATGACACTGTTGATGTGGACTGTGAGTGTCCCCTCTTTCTCATCTGATTGTTGTTTACCGCAGACAGCTGTAGGACTGTTGATAGGTCATTCAGCAATACCCACTTATGTATACTCTTTAAAAAAAAGTCGGGGAACCTGAACTTTCAATTTGGATAGGAAATAGAAGCATTAACAAACTTTTCAAAGCCAGACATCTTATAAACGCTCCACCATTTCCCACCACCCCTTGACACAACGCATGGGATGCACGTGCACAACGCAGTAGCCCATACAAATGCATGGGGTGTATTCTTGATTTTGATGTGCAAATTTCATGTCATACACCAGTCATCTTTCAAGAGCGTTTACTGTACAAACAATTATGGTCAGAAGGAAGTGCAAGTGGAGATGCACTCTCAAAACATTCATTATATTCAAATCGACATTGATTGACTCCAATATATCTCTCTCAGTTTTTTCAATCCTAAGTTAAAAATGTTCCCTACTTTTTTTTAACGGAATACGTTGCGACTTGAGCCGACATATCCTCCTGCTAGGAAAAGTCTGTGTCCACTGAGGGGTGATCGGCGCCAC